TGGTGAGCGGCATTGTGTCCTTGGGTTGCATCAAACGATGTCGAATTGTTGATTTGGATTGGTGGGCTATGCCCACTGTGGTGGGTGTTAACTGTCGATTAAACGCCTCAGAGACTTCTTCGATGTAGGGAGTGGACCTCCAAACTTCATTTTGCTGTTTCCTTGGCCATCGTCTGTTCGCCTGACCCCCATTTTTCGATAAAATGGTTATCCATTAGCCCTGAAGAGGTCCTGAAGGTATAGTCATTCAACTCTTTGGTCTACTGGCGTACTGCAATGAGTTTCGATTGTTTGGAATCTAGTGCGAAGATAGCTGCGTTTATGAGACAGAGGGTGAGCGCTGTTAAAGTGTAGTGTTTGCTTCTTGTCTGTGGCTTTTCGAAACACTGTGGTTTGCAGTTGGCCAGTTGCATACCGGCGCAAAAGCACACCGAGGAAGGGGAGTTGATTGTTTGTTTCGCCTTCCATCGTGAATTAGATATTCGGATCAATCGAGGTCAGTTCAAGGTCAGATGTTTTTATAAAGACGGTGTCCTGGACATAACGAGCCCAGAACTGTGGTTGGTACTTGGTGAACACCAAGTGTTCTGTCCGCTACAGGGCTACTTCACCAATCAGGTCTGACGGCGGAGCCTAGAGTTTGTTCGCATATTATGACGCTCACTTTTCGAATACCAACTTCGGTGACGGTGTCATTGGTAGCGCACCTTGCATACGCTTAACCCCAGGCTTATGTCTTACGGTTAGGGTAAAGGTTAGGTTTGGGGTTATGTTTGACGAAATAAGTGGGTAATTATGTATAGTAGCGATTAGCGTTTTGCCTACTTCCTGTACCACGCAGCCGCGCAGTTACAGGTGCGACACAAAACTGGGCCGAAGCGTAGATAAGGTGCGCTACCAACTGCCCCAACTTCTCACACCTTCTATTCAATGTGCCGTATTTAAGGGTGACGGCAGTGTCTGGTAGGCGTATTCACATTGGTTGACTTCTTAACGTCAGCATGGGCAAAGTCCTCGCGAGTTTCTGGCGTCGGAACATCGAAAACGGTAGAGTTGCTTCCTAACCACTGACTCACGCGCGCGACTGTTCTGTTGCATGCTAAAATGCTAAGAATGCAGCATCCAGTTCCGACCGCCGTGATACAAACATCCCAAAGTAAACTTTCGACAAGTGCACGCAAATAAAGGGGGCAAAAGCAACAAGAGAGGAAAACTATGAAGACCCATCTCAAGCACTTGTAACTTAACAAATGAATTTGGGAGAACATTGAGTAAGATTGCCAGCCTTTGCGAAGTGCCGTAAGATGGAGGTTCTACGCAACGACCTGATCGGTTATTAGCCAATCCATCGCGGTGTGACTGCTAAGTCACTGTTAGAGGCGCCGTACCAACACCTGTCAAGCGAGATTCCCCTGCACACACTGTATCTACATATTCAGCCACAGCAGGTATCTATTCGGTCACACGTCTTAGCACGAAACGATCAGTATCATGCACCCCTCAATATTACACCACCCAGACACACCAAATCAGCACATGGGCACTTCTGATTGCACGTGGAGACCGTCCGTCACTAATAAAAAACTCTACGCTAAAATTGGCTAAGTATCGCCGATGACGGTCGAACCATCATGCTCGCAAGTGGCACGTGATGAGTGAGGGCGTTAAACCATAAGAACCATTTACAGTAAACTCCCTATCTCATGTACTATCGACTGAAACCGCGAAATGTTCTTTTCGATTCAAACAAACTGCGTAAGTAATATTTATTATCATACAGCTTCATCTCAGGATACTTCCCTCATTTCAGAATGCCGTCTCTTCAACGAGCTTCTCTCTGGCCGTCAGCAAAGAGCATGCTACTTAAGTAGTATGCATTTTTTCCCATTTATTTTCAACGCACTCAACAATTGAAATATTTTTTGTAGCTAACGTACGCAGAAATATTCCTTCTTGTATTAATTTGTAAATTTTATGAAACAATGAAAATCCCCGTCACCTGCGACGGTCTAACCATTCGTTCAAATTTAAGGCTCCCTTAGGAAGCAGACGTAACCCAATGACCGTGAGTTTTTGCCAAGGTTGGCTGGGAAATCACAGAGCCTTAAAGCGTTTCCTTAGAAGAAGCCGTAGAGCTGCACAACCTCGTTTCGGCGTTACTGATAAAAATAATCGTTCAGAGCTATCGAATGTACGCCAATCAACAGTGCGACTTTGCCCTTTAAAATAATTTTCCAAAACTCGTGCCCCCTAATAGCCTGCCCTTTCATATTCAACATATCCCATTTATTTCTGATTTTACTGGCTGTGTGGCTACCTGTGTATGGTCCTGGGTTGGAGCATGGCGGTTCAATTCTCTGCCACCGTTGGAGAAGTTGAGCCTTCCCTCCAGGTCCGCTGCCAACAATTGCTGCGCGTTTTAAGACACTATCTTTGAAGGCCGTTTAACACATACGATTCCGTCCTGCAATATGGTCATCGCAGCTAATACAGGAGGTACAAACCGGGCCGCCAAAGTGCTATATATAGCTTTGTATTGGATGAACGCATAGGAAGGACAGATGCATAGACTCGACTGAACAGCGAGGGGATGGAGCTGTGGGAGCCAACGAAGGCGAAAATACCCCAAGCTGGAGGATCGGGCCAACAAAGCGAAATGAGTGGTAAACAAATTTACTGACAATCGCAAGAGCCATACACAACAAGTAGAACATATTATGCTTTTGGAGAGGGAGGGTGTCAAGAAAGTGATAGGAATCACCAAAGGAAGCTAGAGGTCGAATGAGAGGAGGCGAAGCACAACAACATCAAAAGGCAAGAACCATCCCCCAGTTGAGGCAGCCGGCAAAATAGATTAGCCGACAGCAAGTTGTAATGGAATCACAGTAAAAAGGCCTACAAGAGAAGAGGATCCCGCGCAAGGGGCCCGGTAGATAAAGGAAGGGTAGAATTTAACGTGCGGTAGCAGTCGTTTCCATGCGTCGAGGATAATAAATATCGAGAATGCGTGCTGGGATTCGTTTTAGAACCTCCTTGGGGAAGATTCGCAGCAGCTCCCAGCCAATATCAAGTGAGTCAAAGACACTGCGATTTTCGTAGGGGCCTACAATAGAAAGGTAGGGGACAGGGGAGTTCATGAGTGAGCATTTACCAGACTGCCTTAATGGAAACTATACGAGGGCTTTAGTCTCGGCAATTTCACTTCAGCAATCCATGAAATGAAAGCACCCGTATAAATACGCCTCAAAGGGGAGACTATCTTTAAGGAAGAAGCAAGAGAACATAAACTCAAACATCTACGACAGCAGCGCCTGGACAGTTTATTCGATCGTCCGGACGGCACACATATCTACGAGGACTTATCGTGTTACGTCACTGTATTAACAGGCAAGACATCGAAGCTACCGATCCGAAAATAATTCGTCTTAAATAAAACGAGATATAAACAGAACAACACAGGACTAAAGTTGTCAAAGGGAGTCCGAATACCGAGGACGTTTAAATGGGAATGGTCGAGGTGGCAGAGGAGGGGCTTAAAGGTCAACACAAACTGTACTGGCACAAATAAAGCAAGAAGTTTATTATATCCGTTGGTTTGCAGGTCTACGTGAGGGCTAGACATTTTATAAAATTCTACGTAGGGACAATAAGTACCAAATTGCAAGTAACCCCAAATTTATCTAATTTCTGAAGATAGTACATATTTCAATTATCAGGTGCCTACTTGTTGACGTAGCACAGGAGAATGCCATGTGTTGGCGGTTTATTGAACTCGGCTTTGGACTAGATTGTTAGGATCATTTCGTATACATTTTAATAGCCAACCAGAATGTTACAACAATTAGGCCGTCATATACAGGTGGAGCAGGAAGGACGTACCCGCAAATGACGGAGCACTGTATCGCAAGTGCGTTATTCGACGAAGCCCGGGAATACAACAAGGTAACCCTCAGTCCACTGAATTCGCTACAGGTCGGCACGAAAGCGAAACGAGCCGACCCCCATACTACTAACGGAGTTGCATAAAAGATGACAGAGATTTGGCAGGCTGTCTCCAGTTCAGTGAAGAGACTACTCGCTTTTGGAGTGGAAAACGAAACGCCATACGGGTCGCATGTGGGCAGTGAAATTTTGCATGCTGAGACTGAGCATGCAACGTACTTGCTGATTATTTATGTACTTCCGTTACATTTTTACTAGGGTATTGGCTGTTCAGATTCTCAGATAACACGCACCATTCCCATCTTGGGGATTTTGAATGACGTTGCGAGCGCTACTCAAATTGCCTACGATAATTTTCGACAAAAAGGCCCGAGGAAATCAAAATATACGACTTGAGGTGAGGGCACAGACTGTAATAATTATCTGAGGAACTGGTTCCGTCTTTATTTTCGTGCATAAATTGGTTACTGAACCATAATATATGGGTGCTCAAGAAATGTTGAATCGCTACTTGCAATTTTTTCCTAAGCGAAACTGTCGCAAATGCCTGAGCAATAATGCTGCAGCGTAAGGAATAATTTGAAGGCTAGTTCGGTAGCTATTTGCATTGTTTACCCATGCAAGGAAGTTTTTCTAACTTGGAAACTTTCTGATTACTTCTGTCGATTCCTCAAAAACTTTGGTGAAAGGGCTTGAATCGTATTGATGCTATTGATAAAAATAATTAAGTTGACCAAGTAGGACATGGAAACCTGCTTAGAGGCATGTAATAAGCGCGGTCGAAAGCTACACACGACCTAATACCGACAGTCCACTGAACGTGAAGAGAACCACCATTACCTCGAGGCCGTGAGCAGTGGAGACCTTAATGTGAATTAAGATACAGCAAGAGAAGCTTTTGTTGCATCGATTTAATTCTCTCCATGGCAAGACGAGGCCGGGGTAGAGCTGGCCAAACTAACAGTGTCCCCTCCCCTCAACATCTTCTATGTGGAAAATCTATCTAAAGATAAAAACCAGACTTTTCTCACATGGATCGGGGAAGTCAAGGTTCCTCGTGACGAGTTGCCTTGATACTCCGATATTCTATAATGCCTGAAGCTGCAACCTCTATATGGCATCGATGCAGATAAATGAGCATCACATTTACTGCAGCAAAAGTCAAAGTGACCAACTCAAGGCTTGCCTTCTTTTCGCCTTTTATTTCAGTAACAGCAATGAGTCTACCTCGCTGGATATG